TATTTTTCTAAAGGGTATAATGCACTTATTTATTTATTTGAATATAGTTAATTGTTGGAGAGGGAGAGGAGGATGAGATGTAAGTGAATGGAGTGGGGTTTGAACCCAACTAAGGATGGCAATTTTTTCCGCGACCTGAAGAGCTCCGCAGAGATACCCGCCATGGGGATGGAGATTCTCGTAATATTCCTACCCGTGGGGCGGGGATGGAGGCAATTTTTTATTCGTGAAATTTCACGGGAAATTTTCTCCACCTCGTGGGGAACTGTGGGGATCCATATAAAATAAAAAAATATATAAATTTGTTTATATATATTTTTTGTACATATATTATCAATTAATTTTTACTTATCCAATTTAATTAGTTAACGCGATACCAACATAACTTAAATTTCACAACCCATTCTTTTGTCAATTTTTTCAAATCCAATTCTCAGCCCAACCCAATTTTTTTTGTTAATCTAATAATCCTAAACCTAATTGCCCAACCCCAATTTACAACCCAATTTACAGGCCCGATTTACATATAACCCTAGCAGGAGGACATTTCACTTAGTCTCTCTTTTGCTTGCCGCTTCTTGCAATTGCAAATTGCGAATTTGGGAATTGAGATTCCTCATTCCTCTCTCGGTCGGCATCGGTCTCTCCTTTCCAGTCAGTCTCTGAGTCTCCTCTCCTTTAGTCCCCTGCCACACTCTTACTCAAACTCTGCCCTCATCTCCATGGATCACTATGAATCGGTGTTTCCCTTCAGCTCTCAACCTCTCACCGACTCACCATGCCGTCTCTCGGTCGGTCTCTCTAGCCAGTCTTTGAGTTTCCTCTCCTCTAATCCTTTGCCACACTATTGCTCAAACTCTGCCCTCATCTCCATGGACCTTCACAATGATTCCCTTCAGTTCTCAACCTCGCCGTCACTACAACCCCTAGCCCCTGCTGCCCTACAACGCTTGCCGCTCACCTCCAGCTGAGCTCCAAGGCTGCCGCTGGGTCATGTCATCCGGCCTCTCACCGTGGCACCGTGTTGTCAGCCCATCACTGCAAGTTAGCAATGCTCCTCACTCACCACTGCTCACCTCTAGCTTGTTTTAAAAGGGTGATCTTGATCATCTTTGTTTGCTATATAGGATTTGTAAAATTGCTATTTTCTTTTGGAATTTTGATTAACAAGCAGTGAATGGTGGGGACTCCGAATACCCGCGGGGACCTATTATTCCCCGTGGGGATGGGGGCGGAAGCAATTTTTGACCCTCCGTCAAAATTCCCCGCGGGATCCTCGTACCCGCCATTGACGAGGATGGGGATGGGGAGGGGATCCCCGCCCCTGTGGGGACCTGTTGCCATCCTTAAAC